ATGTCCTCGTCGCCGGAGCCATGTCATACCACTTGCTGCGCAACAAAACAGGATTCAAACAGTAGTGACGTTTCAGTCATCTTTTTTGGCGTACAGATAATGGACAATCTAGGACGCACAAGGCAATAAACCTCCTTGTCGCGTACTCTCTCAACAATGGCGCAATCGTAATGGTATTCGCAATTTGCGATCTTGCAACAGTGAGCTCGTCCTGCATCACCTAAGCCGTCACTGATGATACTTGCAGTTCGTTGCCTCACCTTCGACTTTAATCCATGAACCGTACGTTTCTCACTATTTCCAAATTGATAAATCATTGCAATTGTTGTTTCAGATTTTACCTTGTCCTTGTTCGACGTAGGTCTTCCTAAATTCCCTTTGCTCGTTCACCGTTCACACCATTTTAGTCTATGCACTGAGTTTCATGTCCATGTAAGGTTTCTCCCCGGTCCACATATATAAGCTTACCGAGTGCTGTTTTTCCCAGACTCAATTCCCGCGACCATGTCAGGGAACAACTGTTTTCAACAACTCACGCCATGGTTACAATTCATTTCCAGTCCTCCCATGAAAATCCGAATTTCCCAGTAGATATCGAGAATGGAATGGCAAGCTCTGACTTCAAAGGAGCTGTTGGGATGCCAAGCAGTACCATTTGAAGAGCAGTCACACCAAGACATATTGGGCCTACAGTGCGACGAGGGGAACTGTTCGAGATGTAATCTTTTGAGGAAAAAAACGAATGGCAGGTTGTATTACCCGTTCTTTAACGAAATGCGTCGCGAATCTGTGGATGTGTTTGCCCATTCTCCATTTGTCCGACTTCCCTTTCGTCTTGCTTTCATCTCGGTCCGCTCTCGTCCTAAAACTTGCCTTTCTGTTCCGGATTTCCATTCAAATGTAATCGCATTAGATCAACTGCGAACTGCGCCTACCTCACCGCAAAATGACAGTGCACAGCATTGGAAATTTTGCTCACAGCAGTATGGCAGAGCTATCCCTTACCGTGGAGATCTCAGAGACAATTATCGGGCCTGCAAGCTAAATTTTTTGGGTTAATATTCACTCACCGGATAATCCAACTGTACCTCAGCCGATCAGCTCGCAGTTGTCCGCAGAAGGACCCAGTTTCTCGCAGTAAATTCCCGGCTGTGCCGCAGTTTCCTTCACGTAGTAGCCCTTAATTTTCCGCGCATAAAAGGCCAGTGACCCTGTCTTTCTAGCCCCCCCATCCTTCTCACCCGCAAATCACGCCATGCTCGGTCTGGGTTTCTCTTCTACTGTGTGCTGCTGGCAGTGGTCATCAAAACGGACCTTCTCAAACCTCAATTCACTGCTCTCTAATTCTCTTATAAACAGACACTACAACAATAGAGTGCTCGTACCTCGCATGTTGTAGTCTGTCGAAAAGGTTGATGCGTCGATCGCTGGCCGCGTTATTACAAATCACAAAAAAACAATTCGGATGCTGATATGCGTTCCAGAACAAGTTTTTATATGAAGTCAAATTAGTATTTGTTAGCATAAATTGAGCAACTTTCTCAATCTAACATAAAGCCAGTGCACTCTCCAACCCAGTTTGTGCCCTATAAATCCAAGGATGCAACAGCCTATAATACCACCCGGTCGCACATGGTGTGCATCGACTTACAATGAGATGTCGGCTATTTCGAGGCAGAAGACCCCCGTTCGATTCGGGGCTGGGTGATGTTGGAGGATTGGAAGGATTTTTTTTTTCTCCCGCCTGACTCCTTCAAGTTTTTCCACCGTCGCTCCTCGGACAGAAAACAGGCGTGAGCCAAGTGTGAGTGATATGATTTCTTCGCCATCTGGTGCGTGTCATCGTCTGCAACATTTTTCGGAGCACAACCACTCCAACTCCAAGTTCGCACGTATAAATTCAGATCTGCTTACAATGTCTGGGGTATTTCATACCGCTGAGGGCAGAAGAGACTCCGTTCGATTCGGGGCCGGGTGATGGCCGCGTTTTTTTTTTCACTCTTCAACTACTTCGGTACTATCATGGAACTGATCATGGACCCAACAGAAACCTCACAATTATCCAGGACCCTTGTCTAAATTACTGGCATGAGCTCTGAGACGCAATGGTGTATACTACCACCCGGTCGCACATGGCGTTCATCTGCCCAATCTTCGAGTTTCCGGCCTTGCCTTGTCTAAATTACTGGCATGAGCTCTGAGACGCAATGGTGTATACTACCACCCGGTCGCACATGGCGTTCATCTGCCCAATCTTCGAGTTTCCGGCCTTGCGAGCAGAAGACCCCGTTCAATTCGGGGCCAGGTGATGAAATGCTTTGAAAACCTTTTTTTCTCCATCGTTCTTTTCCCATTTTTCTCCCATTGTATCCTTCCACTCTTGCCTCAGTTTTCCACAGAGCATTTAATACTCCCTCCCTCGTGCAGCCCGGCGATGAGTCGAATGTTTACTAGTAAATCTATCCACAAATTGCTCATGCTTTGGCTGAAGCCAGTTTCAACCACGTTCAATCGCATAGGTTAAGGAAACAACCAGGTACAATATCACCCGGTCGCACATGGTGTGCATGCTCAACATATGGTAGAGGTCTTCTTCAAGCAGATGACCCTCGTTCGATTCGGGGCCGGGTGATAGATGCTTGGTAAACATTTTTCGGCCTCGTTCTTGACTTTCCCATCTTGGTTCCATTCCTTCCACTCTTACCGCAAATTTCCCCAGAGCATTTTATAGTCCTGTAGCCCGGCAGTGAGTCTTAGGGCTGGTGATATCGCAGCATACAGGTATTTGTTTTGGTCATCGCAATTTCTTGTACAGCATGTATATTTTCGTAAATAAATACAAGGCTATTTAAGAAGATACAAAGACATGCACATGCCCCAAATCTGAAGGCAGAAGAGCTCTGTTCGAGTTTTTCCTACCTGCCCATCCAATCCTGACGCACAGAGCCGCTCGCACAACCTGCGAGCCTCGAGTGACACAAAGCAAAAGACGATACATGCCGGATATAATGAGAATAAGCAGTGACCCTGAGTCGAACGCGAGCTAGAGGCCGACCCCTGCGCAGACCGTGCACGTCGGCGTCGGCGCAGCTACTATCGCGGAGTGCAGAGACCCAGCCCAGCCCGAGAACGAGACCGAGGACGCGCGCCTGAAGGGGCAGGGTAGGGTAGAAGGGTACGCGACCCGAAAGACGGACAATAGAGCCCAAAAAAATGTACGAAAGAAAATACGAAAGAGTGAAACGAAAGGAAAAAGCAAAGATGAATCGAAAAGTCGACAGCACAGAGCCAAAGCCAAAGCACAGAGTCAAAGCAAAGCCGAAACGAAACGAAGGCCAAAGGCCAAAGCCCAAGCCCAAGATAAAAGAAATGGGGGGCACACGACCACACACGACCGCGCGCAAAGCGGAGGCAGATCAGTGGCGGCATACGTGTCGATCGCGCCATAGCACGATCACCCCATTGCCTGCCACGGAAGACAGGGGCAGGGTAGGGGTTGTCTTATCGTCTCCCCTCGGGGAAGAGAAGGGAGAAGGGAGACACGAGGGGGAGAGAAGAGAAGCGAGACACGGGGCTGTCTCGCAGAGAAAAGGAGGGGAAAGGAGCGGTAGGGAAGGAAAAACAGGAAGGAAGGAGGCAGGGAGGCAAGGAGGGAGGGGAGGGGACGCACATAAGAATCGCGACAGTCGCGACGTCAATGGGATAGAACGTGAGCGCAAAGTTGACGCCGAGGATGTACCACAGCGTGCCGTTCGTGCCCGTCTACAATAAAAATACCACAAAAATCAGCCCCACAGATGCAGATGAGGATGAGGCGGGGAGGGGAGGCACGCACCCGCTCGCTCTCGCGCATAAGGAACCCAAGCAGCCGTTCATACACCCGCTCGACAGCAGGTACACGCAGCCGCACCACGTCCGTCGGCGCGATTACGGCCAGCGCGGACCACAGCACGAGCGTCACCGCGCGCGCGGACATGCTCGGTGTCAGGAATAGTCCTAGCGTTATGAATCCTGTGTCCAAAATCCTCTTCAGCTCTCTCTCCAAGCATTAAAAAAATAGTAGGGGGAAATGCCACCCAACGCAAACGCACCGATAGACGAATGGAACACCTTCCTCGGAATCTCCCAGTCAATCTTCTTCCCACCACTCCATTTGCTGCGCCGTCCATCGTCGCGCGTTGTTTCCCGTGTCGCCGGTCAGCCCTCAGCGCCTCAGCGACCTCGCTCTCCTCCGGGTCGTCGTCCGTGTCCGTCTCGACGACGGCGTGCCCCAGCCCCTCGAGCGTGCGTATCACTTTCCTCGTGACGCCTTTAACACCTGCGGCGGGGGACGGGCTGGCGGAGGAGCGGCGGCGGGGTACAGGTGGAGGGGATTGACTGCTCGTCGAGCCGGGCATCTAGTAGTGCTACTAGTAGCAGAAGATTTGCGCAAAGGCTAGGGAGAGGAGGAGCGTCACACCTGTCACATAGACGTGACTCATTTGAAATGGATTAGGCCCTCGGCATATGCGGTTATATGTCCGATCCATTTTTGCGGATTTTGGCCATTTCCGTACATGACTTTTACCAGCAAATACGTACGCATTGTGATCGGGTAGGTCATTTTTTTGCGTTGTCCGTCAGCACTTAGGATCGGACCTTCAGACATGAGAAGTCTCATTTCGGTATTTACTCGAGCGAAAACCGAGGGTTGAGATGATATTTTTCTTGGCACGGCCGTGCACCCCTTTGGAGGCAAAATTTGGGCAAGATATTGGGTGTTTTGCGGGTGAAACGTACGCATAAGGATCGGACTTCAGGCCCAACCACCCCATCCCGTCAGTCGTTTGGATCGGAGTTCGCCGTTTTTTTGTGCAAAAATGTCCGCATTCTGATCGAACTTGGAGGCCATTTTTTGGGCCAATCCGTCCGCATCAGGATCGGACATACAACCGTATATGCCGAGGGCCTAATGGATTCCTCTTCTCTTCAACCTTGTCGGGTATTCGACCGAGTTAGGCTGCCCGGTAGCACAGTGGTAGTGCATCTGCTTGACATAACTAGATGAGCTTCGTTCATGCAGAAGGTTCCCCGTTCGATTCGGGGTCGGGCGATAACATCGCACTGATGGCTGCTTTTTTTTTTCACTCTTCGGCTGCTTCTACTAGGAATGCCTCAAGTTTCCCTCGACCTTTTCACGCCATCTATTTTACTCACTCCCAAGTCCAGTTTCTGGACAAGCAGTTCAACACCTTGGCCGTCGAGTCGTGACTCGAAACGGACCCCTCTTCTCCTTAACGATGCTATGTATTCGACCCAGTTAAGGTGTTGAAGACCGCCCGGTAGCACAGAGTTGTGCGTCTGCTGAATTTGAAGTTTCGGAATGATTAGAGTATGCAGAAGACCCCCGTTCGATTCGGGGTCGGGCGATAATACCAGTGGTTTCACTTTTTTGACCTTTTTCCTCCGCCATTTACTTATTTCACTCGCTTTCGATTGGATAATCAAATGAACACGCTCACAATGTTCTTGGCTCAGTGGATTCCACCAAATGATCTCGAGCTGGCTGATTTAAATTGGGCTGATTTTCAACCATAACCACTCGAGGTCGCACGTATAAATTCAGAGACGTAGGAAGGTATAGAACGACCTGGTTGCACATGGCGTGCATCTGCTGCAGGTAGGCTGTTGGAGCCACTTTTCAGGCAGAAGACCCCTCGTTCGATTGGGGGCCTGGTGATGAGCTACTCTTGCACTGCTTTTTTTTTTTGGTCATCCCAATTTCTTGCATGCGTCCCATCTACTCTGCTGTCTTAATGGCACCACTTCCCATCTGCTCGCTGCTGAACAACTGTCTTCCGCAGGTTGCTCTTATGATTGATTGATTGAAATTCATTTGTGTGACTACATGTGGCCAGTGAAGGCTATGGTAGCAGGAATAATGGTGTCTAAGGAGGTGATCTAGTGCGGGGGAGTTATAGCGAGGGCTTTTAAGAATACGGAAAGGATGTAGAATTACGGGGAAAGTTGGTCTGTGTAGTATTAGTGGATGGTATGGGAGGCTTGCGCAGTGGGTTTCGACGAACATATGCGGGATGGCACGGGTATAGATTATATAGGTATATAAGGTAGAGTCGAGAGGGAGAGATAAAAAAGAGAAAATAAAAATAAAAATTAGAGGCGGGTGTTCAGGAGAATCGTTCCAAGGCTTCAATGAACCTTGCGAGCGGTTTCAATAGTTGGGAGTGCGTCAAGATGGGGAGAGGTGAAGCGAGGCGAAGAAGCCGATGGCCTTTGCAGCATTGTGGAGGGGTTGACGGAGGTGCTCCCACGCCAGGCACTCCAGGAGGTAGTGAGTGTGAGTTTCGTGGGACGAGCCGCAAGCCTCGCACGCTGGGGAGTCTATAAACCCCGATTTGAAGCGGTGGGCGTCATGAGTGTCATTATCCCCACATTTTTTGGGCTGATTATCGATTAAGTAATTTCAACCACGAATTTCAAGCACTGCCAGTCCAAGTTCGCACGCAATTCGCACGGACGTAGGAAGGTATAAAACCACCCGTTAGCACATGGCGTGCATCTGCCAATCTACTGAAATGTGGCGCTAGCGTCCTGCAGAAGACCTCCGTTCGATTCGGGGCCGGGTCATGAGTCATTGCAGAGGCTTTTTTTTTTTTTGGTCATCCCAATTTCTTGCATAGACCTTTCCTATTCTCAAAATTTAACGGCAGCCGCTCGCTGCTAAACAGCACAACTGTCTTCTGCAGGTAGCTCTCGTAAGTGCCATTTCCCCACAACGTTTCTGTGGCATGTTGCTATTAATTTCAACCACGAATTTCAAGCACCGCCAGCTCAGCTTCGCACGTATAAATCCAAGCACACAGCGAGAGATAGTACCACCCGGTCGCACATGGCGTGCATCTGCCTCAAATAACGGCAGATTCCATATTGTAGGCAGAAGGACCCCGTTCGATTCGGGGCCGGGTGATGGGTCATTGCGGCGGAGGCTTCTTTTTGCTCATCGCGATTTCCTGCATGCGCATGTGTCCTATTCTCGCAATTTAAGGGCACTACTCCTGCTCGCTGCTAAAAGAACTGTCCTTGGCAGGTTGTTCTCGTGAGTGTCATTGTTTGAGGCTGACTTCGGGCTGATTTCAACCACGAATTTCAAGCACTATCAGTCCAGGTTCGCATGTATAAAATCAGGGAAGCAGGAAGGTGTAAGACGATCCGGTGCCACATGCCGTGCATCTGCTGATATTGTCAATGCAATCCATATCGTCGAGGGCAGAAGGACCCCCGTTCGATTCGGGGTCGGGTGATCATTCGAATTAAGCAAATCTTACTTCTTCTTTTTGTCTTTTTGTTTCACCCTTCCGGTCTTGCTATTAGTATCAAGTATGAGACCCACAATTACGCAGGACCATCGCCTGAATGGTTCCTTGGTGAGTGTCATCGTCTGCAACATTTTTCGGGCTGAATTCAAGCACAATCACGCCAACTGCAAGGTCGCACGTATAAATTCAGAGACGCATGAAAGTATAGAACCACCCGGCTGCACGTGGCGTGCATCTGCTTCAATAGTGTCATTCAAAGTTGCTCCTATTCAGCTCCTACTTGACTTCCTGCTTGTTTTCCTACTTGCAAGTAGGAAAACAAATAGGAAATTTTGATGCTCCTACTGCCAAAATTTAGCTCCTTCTCTTGTCCCTTTTTGTACTTCCACTCCATACTTTCCTACTCTTTCTTCCTTCTTAAGGACTAATTAAGAAATTGAGCAGGAAACTATGCAGGGATGTTGTAAGGGTATATCAAGACACTCAGTTTCATTTTTGTAGAAATCTGAGCAGAATTGCTTGCTGGGCAAGAAGTAGGAGCCAGAGCAGGAAGCAAGTAGGAGCAACTTTGAACGACACTAATTGAAACCTTGGCGATGGTTGAGTGCAGACGACCCTCGTATGATTTGGGGCCGGGTGATAGACGGTGTTACCTTTTGTTTCTGCCTCCGAGTTGTTTTTGCCCACCACGCGGCCTTACTCTCCTCGAACAAAAAATGGCATGGGCCTAGAGAACCTATCAGGATTTTGTTTTAATTTTTGCTGTACCTACCTTCGCCATTTGGTGACAGTGGTGGGTATCAACCGTCTGCAAAGGTGTTTTGGCTGATTTTGAGCACGATTTCAACCTCGCCTAAATCAAGTCCACTCACATAAATCCAAGGACACAACTAGGTATACCAGCACCCGGTCGTACATGGTGTGCGATGCTCTAATTAAATGCTGACTCCTGAGCATGTTCCAACACGGGATGACCCGTTTTATTTGGGGCCGGGTGATAGACACTGTGAGGCTGGTGCTTGTGCTACGCCCTGCACACCGCCTCATGGCCCCTTCAACCGAGTCCAGGACGAGAACATACGAGGCGCCCGTTCATCCAAATCGGGAATCGAAGTTACCAAATCCGGTTTCTCATCAAATGCACGCAGCTTACGCTCCCCATCCGACCCTCTGCATTGCATGCACCACCCATCCGACCATGGTGTAACCGCCGCTGAGCGCCCTCACCGTCCGAATTCCCTTTCCACGAGTTCGTACCCCGCATACGAGCACGGCGCTGCATGCTACGGCCCACGAGAATGGTACGGACCAACCAATAGCGGGCATCCTGGGCTTGGTATCCTCTTCCCACACCCGAGAAGTCACCAACACTCGAACGCAAGCCTTGTCCAACCCGGTTTCCACTCACCTAAACCACTTGAAACCCACTCAGATGTGTCCGGACGTCTCTTCCTGTTATATCCGTGCACATACACCTGGCCCTCAGCCGGTATTCTCTACTTCGGCCGGACTCGACTGGCCGCTCTTCCGGTTTCCGGCAACCGGTCGAACCAGTTGCCGCTCGGAACGGGTTTTTACGCAATGAAGGATTACTGAGTGTTTCCCGTTTATCTGTATGTCCACATGATTCCAACTTCCAGTTTTAGATGTCGCTTTGTCCGACTCGAACTTCTATCTCCTAATTTGGACTTTGCTTTGACATTACTACTTATAGTAGTGACACGTATGTCTACGTATTTAAGCCCTATGTACTATGCTGTATTCTTCAGTTTGATAATTAACGTGCTTAGCCTCCTATCCATTGCTTGGCTCCTTGAGTCATCTTGTCCGGACTTCATCCGGACGTCTATATCTCATCCTCTCCGCTCGATTGGCCAGATAGCAAATGCTCACCCTATACGACACTCTTGTGGTGCTTGTGTCTTCCCTAGGCCGACCAGTCATCTTCATATCTTCCGGTAATTCCTTCCGGTAACCAGCTTCCGAACGACCAGCCAGCATCCAGTCATCCAACCTTGACTCGGGATATAACAGTATTATCAAACTCACCTATCTCGGCTGATTCATGTCTCATTACAGCGATGACACGCTTCCTGGCACGTCCTCTTCGGCTCGTGGCCAGCGTGATCCTCCATGCAATTCTCGGCTCTTCGGCCAAATCGTTCCTCTTTCCCCTCTGGCCCAGACTCTTGGAGCGGCTCAGCCCGCTTCCACGTACTTGGCTGGTCCTATTTCCAGTATGATTCCTCCTGGCGTTACTATTCGCCGGTCGATGCCTGATCGCCCTACTGTCGTTCCAGTCACTGTTCCGGGTCTCGTTACTACGCCCCGGACACCCGAAAACCCAACGGTATTTCCCCGTTCTCCTCATCCGATTCGATCTCAACCTGTTGTTGTGGAAACCGGTCCCATTCTTGAGCCCTGTTTCGAGGAAGTTCCGGAGGATTCTGCAGATGAGCATCCAGGCTCTCCAATCCTTCCGGCTTCCCACCACGGTACTCCTCCTCCTCCTGACCTTCTGATGGAGGAGATGATGACAATGATAACGGTGGTGACGATGATCCTCCTCATCCAACTGATCCTCCCGGGCCCGGCCCTGAAGGCCTGCCGGGTCCGCCCGGTCCTCCCAGACCTGGCCAAGGCCCTCTGGGTGGAGGTGGTGGTGGTGGAGGTGGCGGCAGTGGTCATGGTGGTCCGGCAGGTCCTGCCCACCGGGCCCCGACTCCAGATCCCAACGAGCGTCTTTTCATTCAGACTCTTACCTCGTTCCGGGATGC